GCTAACCAAAAGTTCAGTTATTTGAATCCACCAGCCATCCTATAATCCTGTGTGGCCCCATGAGGTTGCTAGGCATTAGAATCCATTCAGGGGCGCACACACAACAATAGCAACAGTGGGTGTTTACGGATTGCCTGGATGTCTACGCGATACATGAAACCCAGACACTGGATAAGACTTGCTTCGGGCCTCATTCAAATCTTTAAGTTTCATCGCATCCTCCGTTAAGGTTCTAAAAGTCTTTGTTCCTAAGATTATTTTTTGACCATGATTTGTTTTGTCTGAGCGTCTCTAGAGGCATCCTGAATAATTCCTGAAAGGAGCATCCTTGTCAAACCAAAGCAGTATGCAGAAGGAGAAACCGTGCTGATGGAAGGGGGCGACGGGTATAGAGGAGAAGCAGACCCCAGAGCCAGCCTCTCCTTTGGCTACTGTGGTAGCGCAGTGGTCAACAGGAAGGACACTGCTTTCTTCTAGCCTTAACCCTTCACTGCTGCCACCATCTTCGCTATAGCTAGTCCCCTAGAAAGAGGAAGGACCTGTTTGGGGCTACACTACAGATATAGAAATCAAGATAGGTTTTCCGAAATGTAATTTGCCAAGAAGGCGAACATTTAGATTGGGGCCTGACTCTGAAGGACAGGCCAAGGTGAGGCCAAATACCGATTTCTGGTGGCACCTGAAAACGAGATGATGCTATTGAAAGGAAACTTCTTGGTTTTGATTATGTGGTTTTCTTAGCATCAGAAATTCAGGACATTGCATTATCAAACTTTAGCTAGACCAGAGATTGGCAATTATTTCTGCGTGTGAAAGGTGAGACAGTAAGGATTTTCGGTTTTGCAAGCCATACGTTCTCTGCTGCAGCTTCGCAACTGCTGTTCAGTATGTAGAAGGTCACCATAGACAAGATAAAACAAATGTGTGGCTGTGTTCCAAACTTTATTTACAAAAACAGGGGGCTGGACTTCAGGGGGGTTTGTTTGGCCCCTGTGCTGTGTCGTTGACAGATTCTTTTTAGAGACCTGAAAGTTAGACATGACTAGGAAGCATCAGCTCCGGTTGTTGTTGTTGTTGTTGTTGTTGTTTGGTATGGTTTGGAGAAGAGGTGAAATGACTTGTCGAAAGGCATACATGAGCTCATGATTGAGCCAAGTAGAACATCGCAGGCGACTCTGAGTGTGTTTACACCTCACTGCCACCAAGTCTCTGCTGGCTCATTGGGACCCCCGGGGTGGGGGTGGGGAGTTTGGAGACTGTAGACACTGTTTATGGGAGTAGAAAGCCCAATCTGGCTCCCTCAGAGATACTGGTAGTTTTGAACTGGCTACTGTGCTGATCATGACCCAGCGTGGATCCACGACACCATCTGGGTGCCTGTGACTGAGCGTGGGGCCCCTGTGCTGCACTGAGCTGCCTCCGTGGTGGGAGTGGGCTGTAGGCTTTGTTTTTTCAAAGAGGCCCCATCATGAAGTGCAAGAAAGACCTGCCTGAGGTGGTCTGACATAGCAGCCGGGAGACCTCAGGGTGGTCCTTGACTTGAGGCAGCTCTTTCGCCCCGCGACCTTGCCTCCCATTTGCTTCGAGGGGCCCTGTTCACAGCAAGACGGCACTACAGGTCGCATCCGTGCTGACGGAGAACGCCTGCCTCGGGGTTGTGCAAAAGCAATGGGCTCCCGCAGCTGCGTCACCGCGTTGGATCACTTCGGCTCGGAGTGCCAGGAGATTTGAGACAGATGTTTTCAGACATGCCGCATGCTTAAAACATTTCCAGGGGTCGGGCCGCGCAGAGTGACTTCATACGCGGAGCAATAGGGAAAGTATGCAAGTGGAGGACCCAAGCGTTTATCCACGGCCAGGTTCATGGCCAAGCCCTTTGCATTACATCTGCCCGTCAGGGTTGGTCTTTCATCTGCGGTGCCCTCCGTGTTGCTCTTTGTCTGCCCGTGAATAAAGTGCAGCATTGTGGTTAGTAATCCCACTCCAGTGACTCGACTTCAAATGTGGTTTTGGAGCGCGTCCCAGAGTTCTGTTTGCTAAGCTTCCTACTCCTGTTTCAGAGACACCCCTGGATTCAGAGCTGCGAGCACTCAAGGCTTCCCTCGTTCCTGAAACCTGTCGGGTTGTGGGCGCTCGCTCTCCCCCTCCCCTTCTTGCTCCTTTCTTCTTTTTTTTTTTAAACCCAAAAATTCCTTCTTCTTTTTTTTTTTTTAAACTTTCCAAGGCAAGTTCATGGATACTAAGCTGATGTGTTTCTTGTTCTTTTTCTCCCTGCCTCCGCTCCTAGTGAGTAACCACTCGGGCCGCATCAAGGTGGTCTTTACTCCGAGCATCTGTAAAGTGACCTGCACCAAGGGCAGCTGTCGGAACAGCTGCGAGAAGGGCAATACCACCACCCTCATTAGTGAGAACGGCCACGCCGCCGACACGCTGACGGCGACCAACTTCAGAGTGGGTGAGTTCCGCCCCGTCCCTCGCCCGGCCCTGACCAACTAGGTGGCTGGGAGGTCGGAGCCTTTCGACCCCCTACCCCACCCCATCCTCTCGGTTTGCACCGCTCTTGGCGGGCAGGGGCTTCTGTCTCCCTATGGATGTGCTTCTTTTGCGGGATTGTTTTTCTAGTTTCTGAATGATCTTAAGCCTGAGCTTTGGCTTCTTTGGGGTATGGCAACGAGGCTGTTGCTCCTTATCATATGTGAAGCTGTGTGGTGCTGGGGGGCAGCAGACCGGTTGTAGACTAAGAACCTAAGGCAGAATTCCCATGAAGCAGCTTCAGGTTTTATCTGCCCAGTGGTAAGCAGGCTTTGCACAAGAGTTGACTCATGTTATAAAATACGGTAGGTGGTGATGGAGGTTCAACTTTTGCTTCAGGAATAACCTTGTTCTCGGCAGCGGGGGTGGGTGGGTGTTGAAAATCGTCAAAACCCTGCACGGTGGTTCTAGAAAGGGTTACATACTTGCATCTTTTGCCAGGTTTCTGCTCTGAATTATACATTGATGTATAGCGTGGATTTAGGGGAAGAGATACTAATGAAAGAATTACTGTCATCACTCAAAAACTTTGAAGTCTTTCATCATGAATTTAAACTTGAATTATGACAATCACTGGCAGCGCAAAAGCCATTTTGCTTCTTCTTAAAATGTGTTTCCTTTTCACTCTTTTGGGGGTAAATTGAGACGGCATTGTGGTTCTCCGAGGGCTGTCCCCCTGCCATGTTGTCATGTCGTGCAGTATTTTTGTCACAGAAAAAGTCTTTTATTATTTCTTGACCAATTATGGTTTGCCATGGGCACTTGAATAATCACAGACACCCGTGTTATATATGAGTTACTCACAAGAATAACCCTGTGTCAGACAGATAATAACACTGGCTAGCGCTGGACTTTTTATGGAATATTGCTGTTTAGTCTTGGGAGTATGTGTCTGGGGCAAGAGAACTGGTGTCTGTTTCAAGCTGGTTTCCATCAAGACAAAATACAAGGGGCAGCTTGGAATCCTTGTTGGCTTTTAGACGGTTCCACCAAGTGATCATGACTCCTAACCCTTCAGGGGACTAGGCAGTATTCCTGATTGTCTCTACTAGGGAAAAACAACAACAACAACAAAAACCACGTACGTTGTAAACACAATTTAAAAGGGCACATACTGTAAATGAGCCACCGACGTAGGGGTGCCCCAGACCTGTTGTAGACAGAATCCAGCTGCTTGGTGCCAGATGACACTTTGTGCTGAGCAGGGCAGGAGAGGAAGTGAATGAGGTAGCCCTGATTCTGGTTCTGGTCCATCACCCACTAGCAAACACACTGATTCTGCCAGTCAATGTTCCAGACCCCCGTTTCTCTCCCCCACGAAATGAAGGCGACTGCCTTCAGTCACATCTACAGTCCGTTCATCTTGAACCCTTAGGACTCTTATCTTCGAGAAGGAGGTCCTGACTGTTTTGGAGGGCCGTGGACGTGGACGTGGACAAAGGGCAACTCCCGACTGGTTCCTCTGGGCTCCGTCACTGAGCACAGTTACTTCCACACACAAGAACACCCAAGCCAGCGCTGAGGGAGTCCAGACAAAGATCGGCAGAGCAGTTGACATGTTTAAAAATAAAGAGTGGGGTCGGGAGCGTAGTAAGCTATCGTTTCACATTCAAAATCATGAAAAAAAAATTCATTTATATCCGGCGACATTGTTCTCTCTTGGTTTACATTATGGTTGAAATAGTGGATCCCTTGAGGGGCACGTTTTATAATTTTTCCTCAGTGAATAATGGTAATTTTGCAGAACTTAGAGATCATGAGTCTTCAGGAAAAAATGTTCAGATTTGTTTCTAGGCACATAAAAATCCCTTTTTAGACTTTACTGATTTTAATACCATTTTATTAACTGCAAAGCACTTTTCACTTATTGATTATTTCTGTCTCTATGTATATTTGTATAATATAGTTAATCTTTTGGCAAATAACTTGGATAGGTATAGGGGAGATAGTATAGTTTCAAGAAAATTGAAAATTGATCGTTGCTTGTTAGTTACACTCTTTGACCTGTAAAATGGAAGCAACAAATACCAGTTGGAGTTGGCTGACACCCATTCGCGGTTGAGCCCCTGAGAGTCGGAGCAGAACCGTCCTCCGCAGGGTTTTCAGTGGCTGGATTTTCAGAAGTCTGTCACCAGGCCTTTGCTCCGAGGTGCCACTCAGTGGACTCCCACCTTTAACCTTTCAGCTAGCAGCCAGATGTGCTCACTGCCCGCACCACCAACGACTCCTTCTGAGAGGTTAAGTGCTAAAGGCCTGCGTCTGCAAACTTTCCCTGTAAAGGGCCAGAGAGTAAATATTTTCAGACTGACTTCTCAGTTGCAACCACTCCACTCTGGAAGCAGCCACAGGGTCTGTGTGTGAATGGGTGAGGCTGTGCTTCAGCAAGAGGCCAGCGCCACAGCACCTGAGCTGAAGAGGCTACGTAGACCATGGGCGTTAGGCCCGGAAGGGTTATGTGACTTTGCCTTATGTGAGAGAGAGGGAGAGGAGTGAGAGGGAGAGAAAAGAAAGAACCCGAGAGGTCGACAGTTCCAATCCTAACTTCATCACAGTTCAGCCACGAGCCAGGGGGTAGGTTTGGCTCAGTATCCTCTCCAGACCTGTGATGCCTTTTCCACGTGGTGCAGGTGGTAATAGCTGTCACAGGATATTCTCTCGCAGGTGCTCCAGTCTCCCTCCCTCCCTCCCTCCCACCCCTGTGTTGGTTCTTCTGGCCTATAGTGGCTTCTCAGGGCAGGTGGGAGAGGCAGCTGTTTCCCCATGGCTACTAAGCATGGAGGCTCAGTTCTTGGGATTTACTGAGAAAGGTCCTAAGTAACTTCCACCTAACATGACTCTAAAAGTGATTGCTGAGTGAAGAAGATATCCAGAGAATGTCGTCTGAGAGGTAGAATAAACCCTTTTTTATGAGTGATGACATTGGTTTGGTATAATTATTTACATGATTATTTACATGAAGCGACATTTCTCTAAAGGGGATTTCTAATTCTAATGAGCTCTCTCTCTCTTTTTCCTGCCGTTCCCCATTCCCTATATTCACTCAACACCACCCTCCTTTAAAAAAAGAGGAAACATATCCTGAGTTGGATGGGCCAGCAGATGAGCCATGGTTGCTTTACAATGTACATTCGGGATAGAATGAAGCTGACCTTGTGGGAGTTAAAAGTTGTTTACAGAGACTTACGTTCTTCCACCAAGAGGAATGTCTGGAGTCATGTGTGTGTCAAAGACAGTAATATGGTCACTTGGCATAACTGACTTGTGGAGACACTGGAACGCCATCATGATTGCTAAAATAACACGTGGTTTATAGAGTGCTGCACTCTCTGATGAGTTCCAAAGGACTCCTGCTCTATTAGCACCAATGGGGTAATTATTAAAAGGCATTTGGTAATTTGAAAAATGTGTTCGCAGATGTTATTGCAGTGACGCTTGCTCTTTCTGCAAGAGTTGAATGGTGGTCTTCATCATTTGCTCATGCGGGCCCTGAGGCTTTAATGACTGGCTTAAAGCTGACAAAGTCAGGTGCTTTTATTCCAGACTCTAAATAGGTCTGGCTCTGGCCATGTCACCTCCTGGGGTCATATAGTAAGTGATTACGTGCAACCACTGTACTACATTTCCCAAGATAAACAAATTGTAAAACTGCCTTTTAAGAGCTTATGTTTTAAGGAGCAGATGAGATGTAAATAATCCTAAACCGAAATGTACAACCCATAAAAGGAGCCCAGGGCAAGGGGGGATCACTTATAGCTGAGGGGTAGTGTACATCGAGGAAAGGGAGGGCGTGCAGCTTCTCTGCCCTGTGCACCTCGCTCTTGATAGCTCCTGAACATGGGGATTTACGGTAGGGACAGACTGCCTGATTGTGGCCTGATGGGGGCAGTGGAACTCAAAACATTGGTACATGCCAACAATTAAGATGGATGAGAAGAGCGTGGGGGTAGGAGAATTCGGCCTGGAGACAAGAAGATGCTGGTAGTTTCTGTGAATTGGCCATAGAGTTACAGGGGTGCTTCCACCCTGCCCCATACGGTGGATGTGAGTCAGCATTGACGCAATGGTAGGGAGTAATAGTAGTGAGTCATTGGGCACAGAAAGCACGGAAGGTAATCTCTGTGGCTAGCTGCCATTGGGCTGAGTCTGACTCATGGTGACTTCACATGTGAAAGAATGAAGTGTCCAGTCCTGTGCCATCTTCAGGATAGTTCCACTCACGTGCAGGCAGCATGAAGGTGGTAGTGGACTGGGAAGGTAGACTGGGAAGGTAGTAGTGGACTGGGAAGGTGGATTGGAGCAGGACTGTGGTGGAGCATCTCGATGTTCAGGTTGTAGGATTTGGACGATACTCTTTTGTTATTGTAAGGTGCCTTCCAGTTGTTTCTGACGCATAGCGGCCCTATGGACAGAATGACATGCTGTGCCAGCCTCACAATTGTTCTCATGTTTGAACCCATCGATGGAGCCACCATGTTGATCCATCTTCCTCTTGTTCCTTGCCCTTCTGCTTGACCAAGTGGGATGTCCTTCTCCAGGGACTGGTCTCTCCTGCTAACACGTCCAAAGTCCATGAGATGAAGTCTTGCCTTCCTTGCCTCTAGGAGGCACCCTGGCTGTGCCCTTCTCCCAGGACAGGTGTGCTTGTTCTTTTGCCAATCCCATAGTGCTTCCGATATTCTCTGCCAACACCGTCATCCAAGTGCATCACTTCCTCTTTGGTCTTCTTCATTCAATGTCTTATTCTTTCAGGCTGTACTAAGTAAGTCTCTCCAGAAGGAGAAGTTGATATTTAGCTTTCGGTTTTTTAGAAAGAGAGCACTTCTTTTCCATTTTTTGGGTAGGACACCAAGAGGCTCAATAAGTTTCTGACCAGCCCACAGAAGGGAGGACGATCTTCAGTGGCTCTGTGGTTTGGTGGATGAT